ATAAAATTCATATAAAATATAATAAAAATAATGAACAATCAAATTTTCAGATATTGAATGCATTTTATTTATTTTAAAAATTGATCAAAATATATTTTGTTTGATGTAAACATGGAGCAAAATAATTTTAAAAAAATCTAAATATTATTAAAAGCCATAGCATTTAACGCGCTAAATTTCTTTAAGAATAAACAAATCAGAGAAAAATAAATATCGAGCAGATTGTTATGCATGTTGAATAAATATTTATGATTGGAAATTTATTTGCATAGTTTTAACACACTGTGCCAAATGTTTCAATTAGCCGCGCTTCGATGTGCATCGCCGACAACAGGCAACAGCGACAGCAACAGCGGCAGCGGCAGCAGCAGCAGACGCAGGCAACGACGACAACAACAACGTCAACAAAAAACAGTTAACAACAACAACAATAGAAAGGCGCAGGCAGTGCCTGCAGCTGTGGCCTATAGTTAAACAATGTATAAATTCGCATACAAAAACCACCCCAACCCCTAGATACAAACTGCCCCTGACACCATCAAGCCCCGATCATAGCTGAAGTAGCCGAGAATTCGTGCAGTGCGTTCTCCAATTTTGATGTTGGCGTTGGTGGCGTTGTGGTTGCCGGTGTGGTGCAATCAGTTGCTGTGGCTTTTTGGCCGACATTGCCAGCCATTCAAGCCAGCCAGTCAGTCAGTCAGCGAGTCAGTGAGTCAGTTAGCCCGTTAGTCAGTCAGCTAGTCAGGTTGGCAAGCTGCCCAGGCATCCACCTGCCTATGCGATGTCCCCTCACCTTCCAGTGCTTTCGTCATTCATACGATTGAGTGAGCGCCGAGCCAAGCGGGTGAAAATTCCCTCAATTGGTGTGAAATTCAACATGCTACTTGGCTGACTGACTGACTGGTTGGTTGGCTGGCTGGCTGGCTGGCTGGCTGGCTGGCTGGGTGGCTTGTTGGCTGGTTTCCATTGCAAATATGGGTTAATTGTGCGCGGCTTCGACACTCAAATTATTTAATGTCCAGTATCATATCGTCCCCGTTGCTCCGGCCCACACTTTAGATTGCATTGTCTGGTGTGCAGCGAATCGCGTTTCTTTACATTTATTGCACGAGTCTGGCAACGCTGCCATTGTTACACGCTCGCCATTTACATACAGTTTACATACAGATTTTCATTGAACTTGTCAGCTAGTCGTCGATAATCAAGTAATTAAATCATTTCGTTGTCATCGAATTTGTAATTTTCATTATTAGTAATTGTCATTATACTTTTTCTAGTTGCTGCTGTTGTTGTTTTTGCTTTGCTTTTGGGTGATGACTTTTTGGCTTTTAATTTGTGCGCAATTGAAATTCCACAGCGTCATCGACATGAGCACTTCAATTAAATTTTATTCAAGACTTCAGAGTAGCTGCCCAGCTGCCCAGCTGCCTAGCTGCCTAGCTACCCAGCTGTCCGTGCATTGTTTCTGTTTGGCTGGTTTTTCAACTTGATTGTCTAATTATTCGCTCAGCGCGACCAAACAGCAGTGGAAAATATGCATACAAAAATCTATTAGAAACAGAAGTATTTAATTAAAACTTAATATGCATTCTAAATAAAAATATGTTAGCTTTGAAGAGACTTTTGAGTATATTAGCATTAAATAATCTCAATTCAATAAGTTTTGAAATATTCTCTAAATACTCGAGATTAGTCTAATATTAAAAAGTTTTGAATAGAGCTACTATGTTTACGATAAATCTGAATTTTCTTCAATTATGTAGCACAAGTCAAGGTAGACAAAGTCAAATTGCAGTCGTGCCTGAGTGGAAAATATAGATTTAGGCATGATTTTAATTATTTTTGTGCCTTGAGCGGGTATTAGGAAGTCGGCTACGCACAGTAGCAATGTAATTGGTTGTTATTATTATTATTTTGCAAATATAATTAGCATCAATGTTACGCATGAAGTAAAATGATTGATCAGTTTCAATTGTGTGCCGTTCCATTAAGGAAAAGCCCAAGACGATGTGTCCATAACATGTTCATAGCCAAATATGGGACTGATAATCCCAGTATCAATCAATAATTGTTTGCCTCATTTTGTATGTCAGTGAATAAAAAAATTTATTTCTAATATTTTTATTTATTTTTAATACATTTTGAAGGGTTCTAAAATGTTGTGCATACATAAATATATTCCCATGTTTCTGATTGAAATAAATTTCAGATACTTATAAAATTATTTAAGGTAAGTTCCTTTGGTGCAAAATAATTCTATAAAGGATTTCTTTTTAATTGAAGTAATTAAATTTCTTAAAGGGACTAAGTTTACCACTTATTAGTTAATTTTATTATTTATTTATTTATTAGTTAATTTCTTATTAGTTAAACATACTGGTTTTTTTTTAGGCAATATAGCTGTAAGCTAGACTATTAGGGATGAAGCATTAATTTATTGTTATTCTTATTACTGAACAAATTTAATATTAAAAATTTCAATTGACTATTTCGACTTGATCTTGACTTGAAGCAATGATAATTTAATATGAGCCTCAATTGATTTGCCAGCTTTTTACCAATAAGTTACAATGAACAGCTTTTTGTGGTCATCTTACTCCAGACAAAAAACCATAGAATAACTTAAAGCATATTCAGCAATATTTCGAAATATTTTCATACATATAGATATATAAAGTTTTGGAAAATATTTAATCGATGTAGATGAATTGGCAAAAAGATTTTAGACTATGTTTATTATTTTTATTTTTGTCGTATCATAGATTTAAAAGTGAATTATAATATAAATATAAACATAAGAATAATTATTGGTTGAGTTGATTAGCAGTTAGCCATTTCTTATTTCAGTAGCCAATAATTAATTTATAACAAAAGAATTTCCCGTGCTCAATCTCAAGCTGAAACAAATATAGAAAAATCAAGTCTGGTTTTTTACACAACTTGTTTTATTGAGTATATTTAAATTGCTCTGCTCGATAAATTGATCTATTAAATTATGAACATATTATTATTTATCACTGAGATATAGTCGTAGTCTATACTAAACATATAGACTTATTCTAGGTTACTAAAGTTAAGCGAAATGTGTTTCGCATTACTCTTTCAAAGGGTTTCTTTTGCACAGAATAATGCCTTATTTACTATGTCAACGAAGTAAATAGAACTTGTTGCATTTTCATTTATATTGAGTAAAGACCATATAGAGAGATGATAAATGGAGTATATTCTAATTCTATTCTATAAATCGATTCGTAAACCAATCTCACTTTTAAGGCAGCTTTTTTTATGTATTATTTATGCCTTCCATTGAATATGATTATCTAGAAATAGTTCTGCGATATGTATATTCTAATTTATTTCTATTCCCGTAATTTCAATAAAAAGTTTTGTATATCTAAAGCGTTCAATGGCTTTACTTCGGATTGACCATTAATTAAAGAATCCAAGAACAACGCACTCAGTACTTGCCTTTGCATAGAGGATATCCACTTTCTTTTTGCCTTTCACTTTGCCGCTTAATATGAATTTTATTAAAACTGTACCCGAGTTGGGTTTGGTTTTCGTTTTGGTTTCTGTTTTTTTTTTTAATTTTATTTTTGTCGCCCTCTGTCAACAGGTGCGTCTGGCACTTCATTATAAATTTTTAGTGTAGCGATACTCTTGTGGCATTTTTGTCGAGCACAAGAAGACAGAGTAAAGTTTTAATTAAATTTGTAATGAAATTCACTTATATTTGATTTTTAGTCGCCACGAAACAGTCGCATAGAGACCGCCGTCGGTCTTGTAATTGCCTCAACACAGTTTGCCATTTCAATTGAAACATTTCCTAATTGGAGGGACACTTCAGAACTAATTAATTGCTTTAAAGGATTTCAACCTTTGAGCACAAAAATGGCGCAACATCAAATTGTTCAAATGCAAAACTATTCCAAGCCGGAATTTATATCACTGAAGAAATCGGGTAATATAATAAAAAACCAAATATTTGAAAATACATATTGTATACCTCTCGATTAAGGATAAAATAAAGAAGCTTCAGAGTCTATATGCATTTATATAGCTCATTAGACCAGCAGAAAGGGGTTTTCTTTAAGACAAGTTGTTAGAGCATTTTTTTAGAGTATTTAGATAAATAAAATTTAGAATATATTATCATGAGTACAATAGGCATCTAAAAATATATAGACACTGAATGGGCATGGTAAACCACAAAAATCTATATTTTATTACATTTTAAAAATTAGAAACAACAAAATTTTGACGGCGTATTCGGAGCGTGTTATGTTTCGATATATCCTGTCTTAAAATTTACGTTACGTTATTTTTGACTCCCTCTATCGATTGGTAATGCTCTCTGAAGGCGTGGCCAAACGGTAAAAGTTATATTTGCTATATTATATTTGGAGCTTGCAGTATTGAGAACATGAATTCTTAATTGCTTTTACTCTGCAGAGTACTGAAATCTAAAGATATTACTAGTTCGTAATTTGCTAGCTTTCAAAGTTATTTTACAACTTAAATCATTTAGAGAACTTAACAAGAAGAAGCTGCATATGAATTTTACTCACATGCAAAGGTAGCATTTAATATTATAAACTTTGATTAAATAATTTTAAATATATTCCCTAAAATAAATATTATTTTCAAATATGTTTATGTTAAATATAACTAAAAAGCTTTTAAGGGCTTACACTGTGAAGGATTAGTACAAGCTTTTACGCAGAAAAAGAGTGCAGCATGCAAGTCCACAATTCTCTATTGATACTTATATATTTAGTCTCTTCATACATTAGTTGAATTTATAAATATTCTAAAAATGGCATAATCAGATTGTTTGACATTTAAATCGTATTAAAAGTAATTAAAATTAATTTGTCAATTATTTTGCTTTGAATTTTTTTAAATAAACTGCAGCTAAATATATATTCTTTCTTTTGCCGCAAATTTCCCAAATTTACATTTTAAATAAAATTGAATTAAATTCAATTTTTGTTTTGCAGCCTGGCAAACTCCTAGTCTGGCTAACATGGACGAGGCAAAATTAATGAACCTGAGGAATGGATTTACGAAATCATTGGACGATCATTGTCAGCTTATTACTGGCACAAAGGGTGAGTGACCGGTTGAGTCTAAAGGGCATTGCCACGGTCAGGCTCAGGGTCAGTGTCAGTGCCAGTGTCAGTGTCAGTGTCGCTGTCCGAGTCAGTGTCAGCGTCAGAGTCAGATTCAGACATGGCCGCAAAAAGTGAATATACGAAATTACTTTGTAAATACATAATGTATACAAACACAAAGCAAACAAGCAAGCAGTTCGTTCTGTGTTTCTTAAAAACAATAAGCATTCATGAAGAATTGCGTTTGTCTTCCGGAGACTGCATGGTGTGTGCGGGGGTGGTAAACAAAATTGTTGAAATTGACAAATTATGTGACAGACTTTTTGTCTGCCAGAGACAACGAGCAACAGTAACAACAACAACAGCAGCAGCAATAATAACAGCAACAGCGACGTCGACAACGGTGGCGCGCAAATCCAAAGAGCCAACACAATTGTTGACAATTCACTCAAAGTGGCAATGCTGTTGTTGTTGCTGTTGGTGTTGTTGGTGCTGGCGTTGTCGCTGAACAAATGCCCCAAAGCGCTCAAAAGCTTTAAATGCGCACGCCGCTTGCCGCATGCCGCATGCCGCATGCCGCACTCCAAGTGAGGCCACGCGTTGGGGTCTGGAGCTCAATTCCGAAGCGCTCATAAACAATGGTGGCTGGATGGCTAGCAGAGGAGGGTGGAGGCATTTTGGCTTTGGCGGCGGCTCAGTTTCGGCTTGGCGCGATGAGAAGTGCGCTTGAGTTGCATTTAAGCCAATTAGCATAGGTAAACAAAACATTTGAGTGAGCGCGCCAAGTGCTTTTGGTTGAGTGCGACCCCTGGGGTGCTGCTGCTGAACGGGAGGCGCCCTGAGATGGGGCTAGGGGTGGATTTTATACATCTATACGGTGTATAGGTGTCAACGCCACTAAGTGTCAGTATTTGTATGAATATGAATGTACGTGTGTGCGTGAGTGAGCTTGTTATGTTTGACGCCGCAGCCAAGCAGCCAATGGGCCAGTTTAAGTCCTTAACAATGTTGCATTTATTATGCAATTATCGAGTGGGCAATGTGTTTAAGTGTGTGTGCATAGCCTGTATAACCCATGCAGTGACAGTGATTTACGTCGTCGATTGGCAATTAGGCCAGACCAGCAGGGGCACCTTGAAGACACAGGAATGTGCCTACACGCTCTACACATTTATATCTACATTCATGCATGCATGCGTGTGTGTGTGTGTGAGTGTGTGCATACAAATGTGTGTATTGTACGATATGTACGATAGATGAATAGCTCGACGAGCTGCTAACTTGCAAATATTTATGAGTGGCCCACAAGTGGCAGCCAGCCACAGCAGCAGCAGCAGCAGCAGCAGCAGCAGCCGACAACAATGTCAGCATTGGCGTTAACTTTGAGTGTTGTTGTTGCCATTTTGACATATGGCCAAAATGCAGCCACATGCCAAACGCTCTTTACGTGCGACTGGGTGTTACTCTCTATGTGACTGTGTACGTGCTGTGTGTGCGTGTGTGTGTGTCTGACGGCGTGAATTATGCGCAATTGAAGTGGCTTTTGGGGCGCGCATTTAAATTCGTGACGCGCGTCAAGTGGGTGGCAAACAAGCATTGAGCATGGCGAGCTGGGAGTGGAGGCCCACGAGTGGCACAATGATGCGCATCAAATTGGCTAATTGTTTAATGGCTGTTTGCATTGATCTTTGCAGATGAGTCGCCCATGCAAATGTTTTACAAGGATAAGGGCGTCTTTCTCACTGGCGGCACCGGCTTCTTTGGCAAAAGTAAGTTGGCAAACACAAACCCAAACGCAAACACGAACGTGACTTGAATAATTGAATACTTTCGAACTGATTTCGCACGCAGTTATTATTGAGAAACTGTTGCGCGTTACGGAGGTGGCCCAAATATATTTGCTGATACGCACCAAAAAGGGCAAGGATGCCCATGCACGCATTGAGGATTTGTTCAACGATCCGGTAAATAATTTGTCCAATATAGATAACTCACCGATTTGTCTAATATGCAATTCCGATTAATCGCTCGCATTTGCTTTGCCTCAATTAGGTCTTTGCCAAAATGAAACAGATCAATCCAAAGTATCGCTGTCAGATCACAATCATCAGCGGTGATTGCTCGCTGCCTGGCCTGGGCATCTCCTCGAACGAGCGTGAGACCATTAAGGAGAATGTCAACATCGTGCTACACAGTGCGGCCACAGTGCGCTTCGATGAGAAGCTCAAAATGGCAATTGCAATCAATGTGCACGGCACAAAGGAGATAATCAAGCTGGCCAAAGAGATTGTTAACTTGAAGGTGAGCTCAATGGGATTAGTTTGAGTAAAGACAGATCATCTAGTTTAGATCTAGAGTCGGAGATAAGACATCTCATATGATCTTAGACTATTAGACTGATCTTAGACTAAGCTGATTGTTGTAATTTAGTTTAATTAATACAATTCCATTTCTTAGGCTCTCGTGCATGTCTCGACCGCATTTGCTCACTGCAATTTGCGCTACATCCAGGAGAAGTTCTACAGCGGCACAATGACTGGCGACAATGCCTTCAAGCTGACTGAGTGCCTGGACGAGCATACGTTGAATACGCTGACGCCGACGATTATAAAGGGATATCCGAATACATATACCTACACCAAAGTGCTAGCAGAGAATGTGGTGCAGCAAGATGCACAGAAGTTGCCCGTAACCATATTTCGACCGGGCATTGGTAAGTTGAAATTTGGCAAAGGATCAAGCCAGCTGCACTGCTTCAATGGCGACTTTTGTTCGAATTTTAGTGATTACCAGCTATCGGGAGCCAGTGACTGGCTGGATTGACAATATGTATGGACCCTGCGGCGTCATCGTGGGCATTGGCTCGGGCGTGTTGCGCGTTTTTACTGGAAACATGGACAACAAAGCTCACATCGTGCCAGTGGACTTGTGTGTGAATGCTTTGCTGGCCAGTGCCTGGGATGTGGCACGAAATACGTAAGTGAACTAGCATCAATGCGGTGTCAACATTGTGGTATTCAAAGGTCTTTTGAAATAGATACGAAACACCGCCGATATATAACTATGTGCCAGACGCGGATAACATGGTCACCTGGCGGAACTATATGCAAACGGGTTTCAAGCACGTCAACGATATACCCATGCGAAAGTCCATCTGGTATCCGTGCTTCACCATCGTGCCCCACATGTGGCAGTATCATATACTCTGCTTTTTATATCACACATTGCCCGCCATGTTCATGGATTTAATTATGGTTTTGATGGGCAAGAAACCAAGGTGAGACGTGACGTGGCAACTTTTCTGCTTTGCATTTAATTTTCTAATGCCTTATTATTCCCTTTAGAATGATGAAAATCTATCGCAAGATACACAAATTCAGCAATGTGCTCAAGTTCTTCAGCTCAAATGAGTTCCGTTTCGATAATGACAATGTGCGGCGACTGGTGGATAAACTAGATGAGCGAGACAAGCGAATATTCGCCTTCGATATGCGAGACTTGGACTGGACAAATCTATTCCGGGTGAGCTTATATGGGCTGCGCTTGTATGTTGTGAAGGATGATCCCAACAACCTACCTGAATCCATTAGGCGCATTAAGCGGTAAGTGCATAGGTTCTTCAATATATATCGTTTTCTATATGCCGTCCGATTTTGCAGCATGATGATTCTGCACTATAGCACACTGGCCATCGTCTACTCGTTAACAGCTTGGGCGCTCTACGGACTGGTGAAGTTAATGTTCTTCTAATTTCTATGGAATTTCTTAAAGCATCTATGTGTATATCGAGGTTAACTTTTCTCTTCTTATATCGTCTTTGTAACAATTCAATTTCGGATTAGCTTAGTTCTAGTTTGTAGTGCATCTCGACACATTGATTACGTTTAGTCCTATGGTTAAAGCGCTCTATCCGATATTCTGTTTAGTCTTAGCTTGTAAAAGTACAACTACTACTAAAGTTGATCGATCATGTAACACATACTGTGTATATATTTATGTACGAACCTAATCGAATTGCAATAAAAATCGCTTTATATTTTTTGGGACATGTTAATTAAAATTTGCTTTTTATTTATATCCAAATTACAACTATTTATTCTGGAGGGAAAACAGATTGCCATTATTGAGATACTTTGGTATTCTTCTAGACTCATTTCTCAAAATATCCCAGATTACTTCTATTTAATTGTAAATGTTAACTGTATTTATTTTGCGGAAACGGACAGACCTCAGACTGCTGATCAAAATATCGACACCTTAGGGTATCTGATATGCTTTCTGTGCTTGCTATGACTATTTATTTCATCTAAAACTTTCTTTAACTGAAGCTCAATAATCAGCAATAAAATTCAGGTTCAAAATTCTTTCAGGTATTAATTTGATGAAACTAATCTAAGCTTGAAATACTCAGTGGCATTTGGCATATGCAAAGCTTTTTAAGTGCCATGAAAATAACTTAAACTACTTTTACAGAGAGCATATTTTGATATTAAAGATTATGGGATTAAAGTTGAACAAAAATAAGAACAAAACGTCGATAGCAACTAATAGTACAGGATATTCCGATTTGTATACTTTTTGTTTTTTTTTTTACACTTAGCAATTTTGTGGCAGTTTACGATTTAGTGCTGCAGATGAAATGCATTGAATGGACAGGCGAAGTTGCTATTGGAAGAGGTGGTTAGCATTGGCAAAGCAAATAGCAGCAATAGAGGAGGAAAATGGAAAATGCTTAAACAATAAGATTCACTGATTTACACATTGACTTAGCATTGATATTTTTATGGCATACTTTCAGGCGAGCGGCTTGTCAGAAAGAAATGTCGTAAAAATAATGCCAGAGAGCTTATCAAATTGCAAACAGAAGCGGCATTGCCTTCAGCCATCATCCAAATCCTGTAAGTCGCTTTATCGTATCGCGCGCACACATGCATAGCGAGAAAACGAGAGATAGAGGAGAGAGAGAGAGATAGAGGCTGGGAGTGAGGGATACAAGCAAACGCATTTGTATCTGCACACACACACATATATATATGAATGGGCACTTACGTATATAAATAAATAAATCCGCATGTATCACTTTGCACTGCTGCACTTGTATGATTTCAAAATTAAAATCAGAGCATAACCCAATCACCCCAGCCTTTACTCTGCCGTAGCCCCAATGGCCCAGCCCCTGCTTGGAGCTATTCGCTGGCTTCAGCCTGGACGGCTCATTCCCAATACAGCCATAAAACTCTCGCACACTCATCAAACATACACGTAGCGTCGGATGGGGTGTGTGTGCGTGTCTGCATGTGTACGGTAGATATGTTGTGGAAGGACGCGACGTCCCCGACGTCCCCGACGTCCCCGACGTCCCGATGTCCCAAAGTTACCGTTGCGCAGCCAGTGAAAAATGTTTGTCAAACCGCAGTGAGCGCTGCGCGCAATGATTGAAGCCATTGCGACGCGTCGCATCGTTATCGTTGAGATGCGGATGCTGATGCGAATGCGGATGCGAATACTGAAGCCAAGTATGTAAATTTTTCAAAAAATTACGACAGCGTAACGCCCGCGCGTCCAATTAAAGTAAGCGGCAAACGGTACACACACATGCGTGTGTGTGTGTGAGAGTGTATATAAGCACTGACAGACAGACAAGCGGAATGTGCGGTAGCTGAGTAATAACTCCCCAATATGTTGCATACATTTGTGTGTACATTCCTACATATATGTAAGTATGTATGTACATATGTCTGTATGTATGTGTACACACATAAATATAAGAATGGTTTCTGCTGTTGTGGCTGGGGCTAAAATTGCAAGCGTCGCAACACGAACGAGCGAGCAGAACATTGAAAGACCAAACAATCTCAATCTCTCAAATTAGATTTTCAGAAAAATGCACCTCTGGGAAATGCACAATGAAAAAGCACGGACAAACACACTCACACACACACCCACAAAACACAGATACGCCAATACCATCAGACACACATACACCGAGAAGCTGTCGGCTCTACAAAGCCGAACAAACAAAACGAAGCAACATTGTCGTTGTTTACGTCGTGAGTATTCGGTAAATTGAAAGCTTTTGGAGTATCGGCTCTCAGTGCATTCGTTGCTCTCGCTGCGGCTCTCTTCCTCACGTAGCAATGCCATAATAACGGGACATGAAGTGTATGGTTATTCAAGGGTTGTTCATTCGTGAAATTAATATTGCGCCAGCCACGACTCAAGCCAGCAGCAGCGACGGCGGCGGCATTGGCAGCAGCAGCAGCAGCACGCGCGCCACAATGTTTATGTTTGACATCGCATGTTGTTGTAGCGTTGGCGCTGCAGCTGCATATTGTAACAGTTCTTTATGTGCCGACTCTCGCTGCCTGCATACTGTAGCATTTGCGTTGCCCTTCGCTAAGTTGTTGTGTTCCGATTCCATCTTGTTCCTTGCTCTCTTTCTATGCCCTTCTCTTAGTTCTTAGGCAATTCCATTTCATGCTCTTTCTGTTGTGTTACTGTGCGTGTGTGTGTGTGTGTGTGCTGCTTATGCTTATGTGTTTGCGCCCGTGTGCCGGCATTTTCGCTCTATTGCCAGTAGTAGACCATTATCAGATTTTGTAATAGCTTTACGTTTATTACTTTTTTCAATTTCGTCGTCTTCGGTATTTTTGGCATTTGGCGCACAGTCTGGCATGTCGAGCTTCTACGTATACGATGTCTGTCTGTCTGTCTGTCTGTCTGTGTGAGTGAGTGTCTGTTGTTTTGAACTAATTTTGTGTTTGTGCTGTGCATTGCAGTCAGTTGTTAATTTGTTGTTAGTTATTAGTGGGACGGCGGCATTGCCCTAGTCGCGTTTTGCACGTCAATTAAAAAACTTGACTGGAGTACTTGGTTTTCTATTTAACTTCATAGGTTAGACATATACACAAGCATACGGACACACACACACGCACACATTAATACACATTCTGCACATCTGCTTGTAATTCCATAGTTGGTTTTGCTTGTTGTTTTGTTTGTTTGACTGCCGCTCCGTGTGCAGCTCGCGTGGGCTATAATTATTTAGCCCTGCCTTGTCAGTGCACACACCCGCGCTCCCTCCCTCTCCCTTGCTCTCGCTCTCGCACTCTCTGCTTCACTCGTTCCTTGGCTGTGTTTCTGCCTCTGTGCTGCCAGCTCCTTTGCCTTAGTTTCGTAGCTTTAGTTTAGCGCTCGCGCGCGCATATAATAATATTTTAAATTAATTACAACAAACATGCGCTGGTGTATGTGTGTGTGTGTGTGTACGTGTGAGTGTGTTTGCCTGTGCTACTGGCTGTGTGTGTGGCGCGTGCTTTTGTGCTTGTGGCTCAACTGCCTCGACTGTCGGCGCCGCTGCTGCTGCTGCTGTTTTGTATGAAAAGTGAATTAAAGCGAATTTAGTGCGCGTCGTCCACGTCCAAAGTGCATTTGTATGTCCTGCACTTCTGCTACTGCTGCTACTGATGCTGTTGATGCTGCTGCTGCTGCTACTGCTGCTGCTGCTGCTGTCGCTAACTTTATCCTTGGCTGGCTGGTATTACCCACATACACATACACATATACATGCACAGTTAGAGACACTTTCGCTATCGCAGTGTGTTAGTGTGTTTATGTGCTTTTCAATTGCAGCGTATACGTTGCTGGCAACACGCCCCCTCTTGCTTACCGCCCTTGGCAGGTCTAACCCCCGCTATCCCCTGCTTATTCAGCTCTTGGCTTTGCCATTGTCTATTAGTATCTCGTTTGCGCTCCTGTTTTCTGTTCTAGTGCTTCTTTTGAAGTTTTCGCTTGCATTCGCATTTTAATTTGAAGTGCAGCATCTCAGTTATACCCCGCTGCACTTGCTGCATGCGTCTGCGACCACAAACAAACAAACAAACAGACAGACAGACAGACTGATAGACCGGGCCGAGAGACAAGCACACAAACAAAGAAGTGCTTATGCTCATTCATTCATTTCATTTCCCATTACATTTGCACAGCCCAGCGCTGGGGATATCCCGCATTCATTGCCACCATCTCGAGCTTTGGCTGTGTTTTCACCTGAGCATCGCGTATGCCCTTCCAAAGGGAAAACTCATAGACCAAACAAAATGGTTAAAAAGCAAACCAGCCCAACAACTACACCAAACCCAGCCCAGCCGCCACTTGCTACTACTTTATGCCACTTCAACGCAACTCAATTGCTTTCTTTGCCCCTGACAAAGTGTGTGACTGTATGCGTGTATGTGTGTGTGTAAGTGTGTTTGTGGTTTTATTAAAATACTCCTACTCCTTCTTCTTGTTTGACGCTGCGGTTGCTTTACTCCCTCATCCCTTCGCCGTTTGGAACTGCGAATAAAAATAATGAAAAGCGCCGGCAAATAAAATTTGCACAAATTATTATATTTTTTGCGCTTATTTTATTTCTTTATTTGCGCAAAATGCATTGAGAAAATAAACAAAATTATAAATGAAAGCAACGCGTGCAGCTCCACGATATACCCTCTACGGTGCTCCTCAAATAAGGGGTATATCGCTAACACGAGATTACTTGCAGTCTTTCTTATTTTCAACTTTTAAATTGATTAAGTATCAAAATAATTCATGTGAAAATAATGAAAGTAAAAATAGTCTTAAAAATACTAAAAGGGATCTTTAAATTATCAATCATTCTTGAAGTCTTTATTGTTTTAAGTTAAAATATTATATAAATCTAAATTCAAGCTGAAGAGGATACATAATTAATCAGTCGATCCTTCAAGAAGGTTGTCTAATGTCTGTCCTTAAAGCTTTGTGATTTGAACAATAGAATAGATCTATAAGAATCGACTGAGCTCCTTATACTTTTGAGCTGAATTGTGGCCATATGAATTTATGAAAGAAAAGGGTAGCAAACGAGCATATATCATGAAAACTCTTATTCCCTAGCTTCAATAACAGCGAAATAAATTGCGTTCATAAGAACGGAGAAGCAGAGGAGCGAACGCACAGTAAGACGGAGTCATACTCGCTTTACTTCGCAAGCCAATCAGGCGGGCGTGCTATGGGAAATTTCAA